GGGGGGGAACAGAAGAGTGTAGCAAAGACGAAGGTAGATAAGGTGGAAAAAAGGTGGGATGAGTACTGTGAAAGTGGTCGAATATGACATACAGTGGGGTCATGGTAGTTTGAAGTCAGAAGTCAACTGCCGGTTTATAGACTTTTTTGCCGTATGAGTATACGTTTCCCAGGGTGCACTACGTGGAGGTAAGTCGATCACACACCCCACTTTCCTCTATTATTGATTCATGCATAAATATGCAGTTTCGTTTACGAAGGTTCATTCTGTAAAGTGCTGTGTGCATATTCATTGGTTTAATCGGGCTCAATAAGTAAGCACACAGTGACTTTCTGTGTCACTGCTAATTTTGGTGTAGCGTAGCTGACTTTGGGAGGGGGAGTGGCGTGTTGAATGAGAGAATATAAACAAAAACCCAGCTCGAAGTTAGTTGTACGTGTTTTCATGTATTTGGGGTTTCTCTGACAACTTTCAGCAGTTATTAATCTTTGCCCAAAACCACTCCTCTGTTCACACTTCGGTATCAGAATGTCCAAAAAAGAGAATCCTGTGGAGGTAATTCGACCTCTCCTCTTTCATTCCACACCTTGAACCTGTGCCGCCTAATGGTCTGTTTCCGACATTTGACAAACGCCTTCAACAATGTGGCATCACCAAATATAAAATTGTGATTTTCAAGCCATTTCTGTATTATCTGCTGATATCGCTAAGCAAGTCATCGTCAACCTCGTCAAAGCATCACAATAATACCATAGGAAAGAAATGGATATCTGTAATGGTGGTGTGCGATAGACTTACCTCCACGCGTTGTGTCACACACTTTTGTAAAAGCTCAAACGAAGGTGGGTACCAAGTGGACGCGGTGGATATTGAGTTTAAAAGCCAACTTATATTCTACGATAATATACCCTCTCCGGTAAAGATGTTCAGTTAAAAGTCTGCTATTTAATCATATAACTGTAAAAATATACCATTAACAATTGCTAAAATTATAAGTATAATTTATTGAAAATACTTGAATTAATAAATCACTTTAGATAAAGTAATAAAGCGATTTCGTCTTTGTTTTAAAATGCATACGCTTTGGTTCTCATTAATATTAATATTTAGTAAAATATTATTCAAGACTGAAATGACCCTCCTTTATAAAAGCCATATTTGTGTAATGTGGGGAGAGATTTCTAAGTGGCTTATAAAATATTCTAAGTTTGTTTCTAATAATATTGACCTATCGTCACCTATAAACTGCCAAAAATTAAACAAAAAAATAGTAAATTCTTAGTTTTTTCTCAAAAATGAAAGTTTACATTGGCGAGGTTTCCATAAGTTTCGTTAGTTCTTCGAGACTGAGTTCGCCATCTTTGTTCACATCAAAGGAGTCGAAGAAACCTCTCAATGCAGCCGAGGACATTGCGGATCCAACCTTCTTCTCCATATTCTTTTGAAATTCGATAAAGCTGACTTTACCTGACTTGTCCAAGTCCATCGCCTTGAAAGTTTGTAGCGCCATCTCCTGAACGCTTGGTCTAAAACAAATGAGAAAGGCAATTTATAGAGAAAAAAACATCTAAAGCCATCAAGCTTTGAAAAGACAGAGAGGTCATGCAATTTCATTGTGAGTATTCTGCCAAAATGGGTACATCGATAAACCCCACTTATAAATGTGGGTAGTGATTAATTATATTTATCTTCGTAAAAGAAATAAATATAAGAAATAAAGAGAATTTTTTACCTACGTTTTAGTGTTTAGTTTTTTAAATATATCCTATTTTACCGTGGTTGATGATTCAATAATATTTCAATCAAAAATTGCATTTAAACAATATTTGCTTTGCGCCGTTTAAAATTTTTCCGTTTAAAATTTTTAAGGATAAAGAAAATCAAAAAAAGTCATGAGTTGTGTCCTATATCCATTAGTAAAGCATTAACCTTATTGGAGAAGTATGGAAACAGATGACTTCAGTTACGAAAGCATCGTCTTTTGTTTTAATTTTCAGTAATAATATACAAAAGCGGGTAATTAGAAAAAAAAGTACTCAAACTAATGGAAACATGATCAGTGCAGTTGCACGTCTGAATGATTACTAGCATATGAAATCTCAAAGCACGAGACTAATTGGTGTTGATGGCACAATGGTTTTTTACGTCAAAAGAGCGACAAACGTTACCCCTGCGGAGTTTCCTTCTTTTTAGACGATTTTGCTGACACACTCATTCCCTGCAAAGGAATAACAAATGAGAAATTTAATGGATCAATTTAAAGATCTCAACAATAGCAAAAATAAGATATTTAAATTCTCATATTATTATTATTATTATTATTATTATTATTATGTCACGCGGTTCATTTATTTCTCCAACTGGCTTTATTTTTCATTTCAATATATCAGCATAAATATAAATATTAAGAAAATTTTAATTTAAAATTTTTTTATATTCCCTTTAATCTAATTTTTTCGATTGAAATATAACATTTTACCTACCCAACAGTGGATGTCACTGGTTTTGCAATAGCAACTGACAGAGAGTGTGAGAGCATTTATGCTGAGGATGTGTGTATGTGTGTGCTGAAACACCAATCAGCACATTATTGATCTCTTTCATCTCAATAGGTGATGAATAAGCACCCTATTTTTTGAAAAGTGGTCTGAGTAAGCAAATCAAAATTTGGCTCTTGCGTCAACTCATCTTTATTATAATTTAAAAATTAAATTACAAATGTGAACAAAGAGATCTCAACCTTACGACACAGTAAAGAAATGATCAACTGGTGAAAATTATTGATTTTGTGCTAACATTTAGATTTGAACACTACATTATCTGCAAATGCTGTTTTTATCTCATTGAAGCTCAATTTGCCATCTCTATTCTTGTCCATCTTTTCGAAGTACTCCCTGATGGCTCTTTCCGAAGGCTGGACACTGCCGTGTCTTTTGACATTGAATTTAAATTCTGGTAGAGTTATTTTTCCCGATCTGTCCAAGTCCATTTGATTGAAAGTGGTTTGGGTTATATCGTCGAGTGTTGCCCTGTGATTTAAAATGCGAGTTTTAAATAGAAAAAGAAAAGGATGCGTTTAAACAAAACAGTAAATTATCAAGATTTCAAATTAACTTGAGTTGGGGACGTGTGTGAGCAGTGACTCAATTCCGAAAAATTCCACTTTCCACCAATTCTTTGTTTCACATTTGAAACTTTAAATGACAGTATTTGTAGAGAAATTTTCTCCCTGAAGTATTCAGGACTAATTGACCCTCTGATTAATTAGGATGGTCAGTCTTAAAATTTGAAATACACGAGGGAGCAAGATTCTTTTAAATGGTTTCAAACAGTTAACCAGGCATTTTAAACATCCACAAAAAAACTAAAGAAAAATTTGTTTTAATTAATTTCTCAGGGGGTAAAAAGCTTAGTCATCCCTTGTAACATCAAGCAAAAATAGATTTTGATCAAACTGACTTGAATAAAATGAAATTGTCTATCTACCTAATTATTGCTAACTTCACAATGTAAAACAACTAATGAGCAATTAATCAGAATTCATTGGTTTGAATCTTAAAATAATTGGATTACAGTAGTGTTTTCGCAGCACATAGTAAATTATCTAAAGATACTAATAAATGACATTATTAAAAAAATTAATTTTTTATTAATTTTGATATTACTACCTTCTACCTGAACCCGATCGATGGTTAAACATTTTCGCGGAAATGCTCATTGCTAAAATTAACAATGAAACAAATACTGATATTCATTTGTTAATATTTCATTTAAAAGTTTGCCATGTAATAAATATGAACTATTGATTTCGAAATTTCAATTATGATGGGATTCGACAAACGTTTGAATTTTAAAATAAACTCCATTCACTTACTGATCGAGTTTTGGAGGAATTAAATCGTTTTACGCCTATTTATACGCCAGAGAATTTTTAAAACCTTCGTAGATAATTTAAATTACAAATTTATTTTCGGTTATTTTAATAATAAAATGGCCATATATAATTTGTTTAAGGCCCAAAACCATTACTGACTGACTCATCTGTATGGAATTATCAAACACTTCATTGCAAATAAAATAATCGTTTATGGGAAGAGATTATTGCCCGAGCACCTAAACCGTATCACAAGGTACTAATTACCGTCGTTTACCGTTTATTACCCATAACATCTTTCGGAATAGTGACATTGAAACAAATATTAATCTCCAAATCTGTGTCCCTGGATCCGTTTCTATATATTTAGTAGCCAAATTTGAAGAATGCCGAAAACTGCTTTCTTAGTGAGTATAAATCCTGACTTCAGTTTAACAAGCGATTGTTAACCCACTGTATATTGACACTCGGAGGTGCGCGATAGACTTTACCTTCATGGGGTGCACTCTGAACATGGCATGCTCATACAGTCGAATTACCATGTCCAGGCTGTATGTCATATTCCATCACTTCCATAGTACTCATCTTGCCTGTTCTCTGCCTTTGTGTCTGTCTATCTCTTACATCTGTGAATCACTCTTCTATTCCCCGCCCCTCTCTCTCTCTCACTCTCCGCGAAGCCCGAAGTCAGCTAAAGGACTAATGATATTTATCAAAACGCCTGCCATTTGATATAAATTATAAAAATACCTTCATTTAGATTTTTAAAGCATGAGAAATTTTGGAATGTGAATATATTATGTGCAATATCGCAGCTCTTAAATTTATGTGCTACTGTCTTAAACGGGGATGCATTTGCCCGAAGAGAACCCTATTCAAGTACTCCCTATCTTTTCGGAAATTCACTTTGTGCGCTAATTTAATTTATTCTCCTTTGGTTGACTTTGCACTGAAGCTCAATTGAATTATAATCTTAATCACTGTATCTAACAGTAGACTTTTCTTTTGAAATTTTGTTTTCTGGCAAACAAATTTTTTTAAATTGTGGTGGCTTGACAAACATTCGGATTTTTTGCGTTCACCATGAATTTATGACTATGATTGACATGCAGGAACAAATTGAGTGGGTAAATGAACATATTTTTGTTAACATGAGGGAAAGCGAATGATTACGCTCTGGAACAACTTGAAGGTCGAATAATACATTATAATGTCAGTATTATTTAAGCGAAATTGTATGGAAATGGGTCATATTACATTAACTTTGAGCTGGAATTACTTCATTTCAAGGATTCGCAGTTTTTTTCATGATTTAATGGAACCATCATTCCCCTTCTCATTAGCCTCCAGTTCATATGGCTTTCGTTCGTGTTTGTTTTTCTTTGTCAATTTTTATTTTCATAAATTTTTTTCGAAAAATATAGATTAAAACTAAAAAAAGATAATAAAAGATAATAATTTAGTCCTATATTTTAGTTAATTAATGCACAATTCCATAAACCCCTTTCGTCTTAATTGCACGATTTCATTTTCTTTATATGAACCCTATTTCTCTATTGCCATCGTTTAATGGGGCCAATCTAAACTTTTAAAGGGATTCTATTCAAAAAGTTCTTTTCGTATGAATTAATCAATAAATCATTTTATGATACAATTAATATCAACTATTATTTCCAATTATTAAAAATTTATATTTATATACACTTGTAGCGGATTGCTACGTTAGTAAAGCCTGACCGACTCAGAAATCTCTATGGCAGATTCTCCAACATCTAGCTAGACTCCCAGAACAAGCTAAGCTATGGCCCAGCTATAAAGGAAACAGACGTGTAGCACGGAGCACGTTTATTCGATAAGTATATTAATAGCAAAGTGTTGAGTTTGGCAGAGCGATTAGTTATCAGATAACTCTAGCATAATTCGTGTGGAAATTAATAGCTAAAATATTTCTGAGTAGGGTTCTATAGCAAGATTTCTATTTGAACATTGATGAAGAGTCTCACACACTCAAGCTTATG